TGCTTTTCACTCACCTCATAGTTCTAGCCGACTTGTGACAATGAGACTGTCACAGGTCGGCTCAATAGATCGGGAGGTGAGCGAACACATACCGGCGTTCGCTCACCTCTCGATCCTGTCACGGATCTCTGCCGTGACAGGGGAGGGGCTGGATTCCTCCCTCCCGTCCCGGATCTCTCCCGTGACAGGGGAGGGGCTGGATTCCTCCCTCCCCGATCCGCCAGCGCTGACTGGTGGATCGGACGGGGGAGTGGGCGGGTACAGCTGGCTCTGCCTCTAGATAGGCAGAGCCAGCTGTCAGTCACGCAGCTGGGCAGATCCCGGCACAATTGTCGGGATCCGCTTCAGCGTCTCAGTATACCGCGAGCTACAGCTCACGGTATACTGGGCCTAGGGTGACGGGAGGACGCTAGTTTGTGTCCTCCCGTTACCCTGAGAACTATGGGGAAAAGGCCTAACCACATAGTTCTCATTTAAAAAGGCAACGTTTTTTTCCCTCAGCCCAACCTTAATTAAAGCACTTACCTTAAATGATGTCTCTTAATTCGATCTTTCCTGATGTTTTCAGCCTTCTCGCCAGCGTTGCTGCGGGTCTCTGATCCAGCGCTGACTCCTCTGGGCTTGCTGGCACTTCCTGTCCCACGGTGTCTGCATGCGTGTGCACACACGTGTCCATAGACTTACCTTGCGTCTCTCCTCACGTCCCTGCCGAAAATGTGAACTGCGCATGCGCCCGCCCCAAGATGATTTGCAGCCGCCCGAGAATTATTACATTTTCGGATGGGAGCGCGCAGGGAAGACACAGGTAAGTTTAAACCACTTTTAAAGAGTTTAAAAAAAAAAAAAAAAACTTTTTGCATATATCTACTGCTTGCTAGCAGTAGATATATGCAAAAAAAGCTGAGGGTTTAGAAACCCTTTAAGGGGTTAAACCTGAAGTGCCCAATGCTGTGACTTGCCTGACGAAATGAAGCAGCTGAAGTTATGTTCAATGAGTAAAACTGACTGACAAAGACCATTACTGTGCTCAAGGCTAGCCAGCTAAATCAGCGAAATCACCCCCCAGCTGTTGTCTCGGGAAGTGACACACTGGGCTATTTATGGCCACCCTAAGTCAGAGTGCAGAGGACATTATCATAACGACTGCTTCTGGACATCACTATGCCGGATCACAAGCATTGCCTAGAATGATGAAGTCAATGTCAAGCCAAAACCTTGTTGTGGGGAAAGATTAAAATCCCTGTCTGGATTTTTCTTACTGGAGATCTGGTAAAGAGATTTCCCCTCAATTCATGTCCTCCTGCCAATGGTTTCACCAAACAGGAAGTGATGGAAAAATCTACAACATTCTAGCATTATCGTAGTCCACTAAAGAAACACATTTGTATTTCTGTCTTTGTTGCCATTGGAGAATTCCCCTCACTTCCTGTCTGGCCAAACATCAGCAGGACATGACTATAGCACAGCAAAGGCAGTCAGAATGCGAGAGTTCTGTCACCTCTACATTCAGGTCAGTGCTATAGAGAGGAATGAAGCAAAGGATCAGCATGACAGGCAGCATGCACAGGAGAGATCATCAATGGCAGCCTACATACACTCCCCATAACAGCTTTCCTTTCAGCCCCTAGGGATTAAATGGTCATTTTTTACAATACAGACAATTTCTATGGCGTTGAACCACCTTACAGATTCAGCCAGTATTTTTACAACCGATTAAACACATGGCTCTGAAATGTCTTTTTCACTCGTCTGCGAGTCCGTCCGGCTAACACACGGCAAAGCCCTGACACGCATTACATTTTCTATAAGAAAGGGCACTCACTTGGCCGCTTCATGTCTCCGGTGTGATCTCAGCTACAGCACCACGTGTGAACAGGCCTTGCTCGCTCCCGACAAGTCGTCACTTCCGCCCCTCTCTGTGCTCACGCCCGGAACAGCTAGTATGTCAGTGGGTGGAGCCAACACCACGTTTGGTCGGCTCTGATCCCAGCCACTCACAAACACACTAGAAGGAGGTGCAGCGTGATGTCACTGATGGGGGAAGTGGGTAGAAATGTACATTTTATTCTGTCTTTCATGGCACAGATTAGATCAAAAATACCCAATGTGATGAGAATATATGTACACCTGAATAAAGATCACCAGTGTTTGCCAACTACCCCCTGTTTTGGTACTATATAAAGGATCAACTGCAGCTTTACTTTTCTTAGATGTTCACTAGTTTTATATTTTTCAGGCATTTTCTTTATTTTCATCTAGTGATCCTCTCAGTAACTCACTTCCTAAGGTGACAACGCTTACCATGCAGAGTCTATGGAGCAGCAGTGTTGTCACCCTAGGGCAAAAAGTGTTAGGCAGTTTAGTCCTTCATTCATTACTAAGGTCTTAGTTGCAAAATTACATTATACAAATAGAAAAAGGCACATAGAATCAATTTTTGAGATGCTGTGGTCTCCCTTCTCAAGGTGACATTTTTTTTATCTCAGAGTGATTTAAAAGCTCATACGGCGCCTCCAGTCATAAGACAGGTCAAACAGATAATGGAATCCTGGAAGAAGTATCAGATATCTTGGTTGGGCAGAATAGCAGCAGTAAAAATGATTCTGCTACCCAAGTTACTATATTTTTTCCGGGTGCTGCCAATAAATATTCCGTTATATGTGATGAAGTCCCTTCAGCAGATGTTCCTACATTTTAAATGGGAAGGGGAACAAACACAGGTAGCTAAGAAAGCTCAAGTTCAACCCAGCAGTAAAGGGGGTCTTGGAGTCAGTGGCATCACAAGTGGGGTGCGGTCCGCACCCGGGTGACACCATTGGAGGGGTGACACCAAAATGACTGATAGTCATAGACTAGAGCCCGACAGCTGCAGGAGAGAGGACCCAGCGGCATACCTTATCCCGCCGGGTGAACGTCCCCTCCTGTCTCTGCCGGCGTCCATCACCAAGATGGCCGCTGGCAGGTATCAAAAAGATGACCACGCATGTGCAATGACGTCATCGCGCACACGCATGGTTACGTCACGCGTATGCGCGATGACATCACGGCGGAGTGTCACCCGGTATCTGCTCCAGGTGACACCCGGCCTCGGTCTACTTTGAGCCTGAAGAAGGGGACCCTGTGCGGCCCCAAAAGCGCTTGATATTTGAAGTGACATCTATCAATTAAAATGTATTTGCACTGACTTAAATTCTGTCGTGCTGCTGTGCTGATGACATCTTTATTCAAAGTTGCACTGTGTGCGGCGCCATCCGCGCCCATTTCTAGCACGCATCAACACTTTGGGATTTCCGGTAAAGAGTGCTACATGATCTATGGACACCCGACCTCAGGACGCCATTGCTTGGAGTTCCACACTTAATATCTTATTGTCAGGCGGGACGAATCGCATCACTGATTTCTTATTTTACGGGTCCAGTTGCCCCTTTGTGGGTATATATAAAAGCAGAGGAAGTGATCCCTATAGGTGTAGAGACCTTGATATGGAGCCTACCTTCACAACGTAAACATTATATCAATCCAATAAGTAGGCATTCTCTTAAGATTTGGGATGGGGTTAGATATGAGAAGAATTTAGCTTCTAGACATGTACCTTTGGCAACTATTATCAAAACCCTTCCTTTCCTCCTGGGTTTGAAGAACCCAATAGGTTTCAAATCTGGATAGAGGCCGGTCTCTATGGGCTAAAGGATTTTCTGTATCAATCAGATATGATGTCATTTAGCAGAATTCAGGCCATGTATGAGATACCCCGCTCTAGATTTTTGGAGTATTTGTAAATTAGGAGTTTTATACAAATCAATGTTAGTTAAATCTTCTCCACCCTATAAACTAACCATTTTTCATCAGAAGTGCGTGAGAGATCCGCTAGGGGGGCTGCTTATCTACTATCTAAAAGATAATGATGAAAGTAGAAACTTAAAAGAGAACTATGGGATAAGTGTTTTCCCCCATAGTTCTCTTTAGGGTCACGGGGGGACATATACTAACCTCCTCCCATGACCCAAAGCTCGTGGGGGGGAATTTATCAAAACTGGAGCAGACAGAATCTGGAGCAGTTGCCCATGGCAACCAATCAATATCTCTCTTCAGTTTGTGCAGTTAAGATTTGAAAATGAGACAGGGAAGCTGATTGGTTGCAGTGCAAATCTCCAGATTTTGTCTGCTCCAGTCTTGATTAATTCCCCCCAGTACATCGCGGGCTATACTGAGAGCGGCGCAGCCGGGAGGGATCCCAACAATACTGTCTGGATCCAACCCAGCTGCGTGAGTGCCTATTTAGAGGCAGAGCCTGCTGTGCCCGCCCCCCACCCATTCGTTCCTTCATTCAGCAGTGGAGGATCGGAGAGGGGAGGGGGGGGGGATCCCTGTAGGGAGCGGTGACTGACAGTCACCGCTCACTGTAGGGAGATGATCGGGAAGTGATCGGATCGGCGGCATGTTTCTGCTCACTTCCTGATCTACAGAGCAGACCTGTGACAGCTTCTTTGTCACAGGTCGGCTCTAACTATGAGGATGAGTGGAAATCACTCACCTCATAGTTCTCCTTTAAGCTTACCCTATATACGTGCTCCTATGAGAACAGGATCCAGAGAGGCGATTGATACCAAAAGATTGGGCACAGATCTGGGACACCATTACACATTGTTTAACCAATATGACAGCAATAGAGCCCAACTATAAAGTTCTGTTGCGCTGGTACACAGTCCCCCTTAAAATAGCTAAATTTTTAGAGGGATGTTTTAGGGGATGCGGTGAGGTGGGTTCCATGTTACACATATACTGTATGGTGGAGCTGTCCCAAAATCAAGGGATTCTGGATAGGTACCTATCGAATGATCAGTAAAGTATTAGGCAGACAAATAAGATGCAACCCATGGGAGTCTTAGCTTAATTTAAGACTGGAGGGCTGTACCAACATGCAGTTTAAATTAGTGATTTTCATATTAACAGCAGCAAAACACACATTGGCAAGGGCTTGGAGCTCCAGTACACCCTCTATACATCAAGGAAGGAGCAAGGTAGGGTGGTATATGATGAATTAAAAACTTTCTGCAATTTTAAAGGATACAATCTCTAGATTCAAGAAAACATGGGACCCTTGGATACCAAATTACATGGCAGTGGACTTCCAAATGTCCTTACTAGATGGAAGTTAGGGTCTGAGGATTAGGATGTAGAGTGGGGAAGGTAAGTGGGAAAGGGGGAAAGAGAGGAAAATTAATAAGGTTAGGGTTTTTTTTTTTGTTTTAGGAAGGTGTGAGGAGAATCATGAATGGAGTTTTAAGGATACGAGCAGTGGCAGAACAATCACCGCTATGGGGCCCAGAGCACAGGGGGCCGGCCAGGACATCCCCCTGATGCTGTGCGGGCCACCTTGGTCGCTGTGGCATTGCAGGCTGCTGGCTGTCACTGGTGGCTGTGAGGAGGAACGCGCTGCTGTCCAGATCACTGACAACCTGTCGTTGATCTGTGCAGCGGTGCGTTTCTCCTCACAGCTGCTGCTGAGTCAATGACAGCCAGTAGCGGAGGAGGCTGAGCCCGGCGTCGGCAGCGAAGGAGGAGGCAGGGCCCAGCGACGGATGGCCCGGTCGCGGCCGCGACCTCTGCGACCCTGGTAGTTCCGCCACTTATACGAGCTAAGAAGGTATCTAGAAATTTGAAAGGGTTATAAGGCGTACTTATAGTGTTTTAAATAGGTAATTATTTTGTGTATTGTTCCCTTAAAAAATAGTGAAGAATGTTGTTGAAAGTTGATGTTATTAATTGTATGTTTTGAAACTATTTAAAACGAACAAAGATTATTGAAAAGGAAAGGCTCCAACTATGAAAAGGTTAATGCCTATCTATGAGCAACCCAAAAAACGAATGCCCGCACTGCAAGCATTAACTGCTCATTAACACCTAGGAAACTGGAGTTAAGCACTTTTACTTACCTGATCCCCGCTCCCCCAGCGGTCGGTGCTCATTTCTCTCCCCCTCTGCTCTGACTGGTGGACCTTCTCTCGGCATCTCCATGACTAATGCAGGTCTATGGAACCTGCATTAGTCATGATCACATCAGTGGCCGTTAGACCACTGGAGTGAAGGGTGGAAAAAGCTGCAGGGACCAGTCTAGTAGATCGGAGAGATTGGGGATCAGGTAAGTAAAACAACTTTTTTCTGTCCCCTTGGCATAAAAAAGCAGTTAACCCTTCCAGTGTGGGGGTAGCTCCACAACAAGGGTAGTTTTTTGGTTTTCCCAGAGATGGGCTTTAAAGACCCTGCAAGTACACAAAATACCTGTTGATCCTGGCAGAAATGCACTGAGCTCCTAATTACATGTTGTGGGCTGACAATACAGTGCCTTTACTGGACTGAAATCACAAGGAGATGTGTCAGCCTGTGTCTAGGAGATGCTGAGAATGGGATACAATGAAATGAATTAGTGACATTGTAACCAGTGTAGCTGTCAGGAGTAGCTAATTCTAGTATAACTATTCCCACATCACGACCCCAGCACTTGCTCCATCCCACAACCAATAACTTTAGGCCTCCCTACAAACTGGCCTCATTTTTCAACTACACCAACCACTTCCACCACCACACATTCCTCTCCCAGTCTTTATATATCAGTTGCTCCTGGACCTCCATCACCTTCAGCCAGTGGTGTATTTTGGTTTTGTGCTGCCCTAGGCAAGACTAAACCCGAGCACCCCCCATCCCTAATTTAAATTAGTCCCACCCCTTCCTGTTTAAGACATTTTGCATAACCTGTCAGTCGCGCGCACGGTGTATCTAGATTCTGACAGGTTCTACCTTTGCTATAGCCTACTTCTCCACTCCTGGCTTGATGGGCTCCCTAGTTCTGCAGCTACAATAACCATTCTCTCCTGCCCTGTCATACTGTGCTAGTCTCTAGTACTGCAGCTGCAACACCGATCTTCTGCCTTCATATGCTGGGCCTTCTATAGGCTGCACTTCCCCAGATTCACCACCACAGAGGTTCCAATGAGCACGATGACCATCTGGATTTCAGTCCTGATCCTGATGTCCTGCGGAAGCTCCTCCGCTGCCTGAAGTCAGAGATTTGGGTGACGGTTTCCCAGGATGGTCCGGCACCTGAACTTCCAGTGCATCCGGATGAAAGTCACACACACCAATACATTGCACAGCATGTTGACCAAGAAGAGGAAGGAGCTGCAGCCAACATATATGTTGGAGTAGGCGGCATAGGTGGACACGTTGGTCCCCCAGTCAAAGAAGCACCAGGTCCAGGAGTACTGGCAGTAATTTATGAATAATTTATTATATTTTTTTTTCTCTTATCTAACTGGTTTGGGGGAAGCATTTTTTGGCGCCCCCCTGGAAAGTGCCGCCCTAGACAAATGCCTAGTTTGCCTTGCAGTAGATACACCCATGCCTTCAGCGCCATACTCCCAAAACACCACCCATCCTCTGCCAAAATATAATTTTCCCACAACCCAACCACAGCATTCTCTCTGTCTCCCTACTTTATCATCCACCTATCCATGTCACTACACCTAGTATTCATACCTCCCATTATCCTGCCAATCACTAACTTCTGCAATTACTGTCCCCCAACTATTAACATTAGGCCCCTACAAAGTGCCCTCATTTTTTAAGTAAACCAACCACCTCCCCCACCATGCATTCCTCCCTAGTCTTTAAAAAACAGTTGCTTCTAGACCTCCACCACCTCCAAGGCCATAATAACAACACATCACCCCTCCTCTGCCAACATATTATTTTCCCACAAAACAACCACAGCATTATCTCCACACTCCTACTTTATCATCCACCTATCCATGTCACTACACCCAGTATCCATACCTCCCACCATCTCTTCGTTATCACTACCCCCCAACCATTAACATTAGGCTTCCCTACAAGCTAGCCTCACTTTCCAGATACACCAACCACTTCCCCCACCATACATTTCTCTCCCAGTCTTCATATACCAGTTGCATTCACCAGTACATCTTCCTCCCAGAGTCCCAGGCATCCATCCATGGAATTAACAAGGCAATGGTACAGCATGTCCCCTACCGCTTGCCATTAACCTACCACTAGCTGTAGATTTGCACCTGCCAACAGGTAGTTTGGTCCACTCTTCTTGAACAAATTGCTGCTGCTGCTGCTGCCTTAGGTATAAAGGAAGTTTTCTCCACAATGCATGTTTCAGCCCTTTGTATGTTATTTTTTTCATAGGATTCAGATCATTTTGTATCTGCCCCCACAGCAGAAGGACTTACATACAGTATCTCAGTAGTACTTGTAGTCCATTCATTACTTCCTCCAGTCCTATAACGGAAGGTCTGTACCTCCATAAAGACATGGGGCTGGGATGTAAACAATGAAAGAACTTGTGCTTTGCACCCACAACGCACTGACTGGCTTCAATGCAAACAAATAATACATTTACTTTTTTGTCGGTGCATTTATTAGATTTTTTTAAATGGTAGACTATGTCTTTAAAAAAAGAAATCCAAGTTTTAGAAAAATTAACCCTAGACCTAACCGAGCAATTAACCCTTGTAGTGTGAGGCTAGCCCCACTGCAAGGGTTAATTGCTTATTTAGGTCTAGGAGCAAAAATAAAGAAGATACATTTACTTGATCCTGGGTCCAGTTTGGCTGCTAGACCGGTCCCTGCCGCCTTTTCTCCAGCCAGGCTCTGGTGGTCTAAGGACCTGTGATATCATCGTGTCTAATACAGGTCTATTAGATATTAGGACGCCTGAGAGACATCCAGCAAACAGAGCAGAGGGGGAGAGAGTTGAGCGGTGAGTATATATTCTGTGTTTTCGCACGTAGACTTAAACAAGCAGTTAACCCTTACAGTGGGGCTAAAACCTGGAGTTCTTCTTTAAGGCTTTGTGAACCCTAACAATGAAATGTACCTCTTGGGTCCATTTTGATCTGATAAATACACCGTTGAAAACTTTTTGTTACAGCTGTTTTATAAGTGCACAAAAAGCAAAAACAGAAAAGTTGATCCTTCCAGAAAAGTCAAGTGATAACTCCCTGTGCCCTCTGCCTGCACTGAGTTCTTAGCAGTTACTTAGCAGTTACATAGAACCCCTTAACTATACATAGTTATAAATGCATGCACATGGAGCATTGTGCAACCTAATTGTGCAACCTGACCAACCGCTCAGTGTCTGCAGCCCCCCTCTGCCAATCCCTGCACTGGCTTCCACTCGCCCAAAGGATAAAACTCAAAATATTAACAACCACTTACAAAGTCATCCACAACTCTGCCCCTGGCTATATCTCAAACCTTGTCTCAAAGTATCAGCCTAACCGTCCCCTCCGATCCTCCCAAGGCCTCCTGCTTTCCAGCTCCCTCGTCATCTCTTCTCATACTCGCCTCCAGGACTTCTCTAGTCTCTCCCATCCTCTGGAACTCTTTACCCCAACCTGTCCATCTATCTCCCACCCCGACTGCCTTTAGGTGATCCCTAAAGACTCATCTCTTCAGGGAAGCCTATCCCACCTCAACCTAACCACTCAGCCATCACGTTCTCAAACAATTCATCCCCACACAGCTACCTCCTCATGTATCACTTCCCCCTCCCTATTAGATTGTAAGCCCTCACGGGCAGAGCCCTCCTTACCATCTTGTCTTGAATTGTATTGTGATTTGTAATGTCTTCCTTATATTGTACAGCGCTGTGCAAACTGTTGGCACTATATAAATCCAGTATAATAATAATCTGTGATGTGATATTGGAGGTCTCAATTCAGTTGAATATAAACTGCAGCTCAATGCAGCCAAAACATGAGACTTTTTCTCTTTTGGTTAGCCTATGTCCCAACTGTCCATCAGAAGAAGGGACTGTCACTCTTTTTGAACCGAATCCCAGTGTCCCTTTATTCTCCCCAAATGTCCCTGTTCTATAAAAATAAATGTACTGGTTTACTGCCAAGGTTGTCTATATTGCATAACACTTTTCAACAATCCTTAAAGCGGAACTACACCCTCGTATCACATACAGCCAAGGATGATGCCACCTTAGCCTCTATTTGGATTGTGGATGCCATGGTGCTGTACATGTGACCAGCTATGACACCAGCCATTTGAGGGCTTAAAGTTTGGTTGAGAGCTGAAATAAAGCACACTGACAGTTGGTATGTCTAAAAAGTAACAGTTTTGGGGGACATTAAATTGGTGGGTAAAGTTCCTCTTTAACCATAGCTCCCAAATCTTTTCAAACATATTTGGCCATGCTCGACTAATATAAAGTTATTTGTATTCAGGTAAAATATCTACGATGAGCTTAAGGAAGGGTTTTACATCCAGAGCTGTTGGGTCCTTCTATTTCAGTGAGATCACCTTTCTGGCATGAATAAGCCATATCCATATTAGCTGTTTGGTGTTTACCTGCTGTATGAGTTGGTAATACAGCAAGGAGGTAGAATTCCAGGAGGTGAATCTCACCATACACATCACAATCTTTGTACAACTAACATTCGATTTACCAAAAACTATGAGGACCTACCTAAACTATCCAGTGTAAATCGATTTTAATGTGACTGGTGAGCTTAAAGGATTAGTTCACCTTTATAGTCATTTACTCAAAAAATGCGCCATGCGTTCCAGCATGTTCTGCCAAATATAAATGACCGTTCAGCTTTTTAAAAGTGTGTTCCTGTGTCATTTCATAACTTCATGTGCCCCTGACACAGAAGGAACGCACCCGGCTCATTGAAACACAGGCATTCACAGTGCGCTCTATTCCCCCCTACAGCATTGGCAGAGCTCAAAGGGGAGGGAGGGCACTGCACATGGGCCGCGGGGTCATTTCTTGTGTTGGAGGTGCACAGACACATCCTACAGCGTATAGGGACCGATGGGCATCACCTCTCTAGGACTTAGCACATAACTTCAATGTGTTGGCTTAGGAGCATTTTTTAAGCTGACTGCTGCTGGGTGCAAGGTGCCTTTATTGGGAAATGTTCCCAAAGGTGACCTAACAGCACAGGATTTGCACCAATAAATTGTTGTCAGTAAAGTGACATTTAAACATAAGAGCAGAAAACATGCAAAGCACGCACTGGTGAAGTAGAGCAATGATATATTTGGGTCCAGTGGCTAATTCCAAGTTTGAGCATTTCGTAGGCTTCATTCTAATAGCCATCCGCAAACATCCGCCCTGCACAAAAATGGCCGCTCCCGTACTGATACAGATGTTCCCTTACATACGATGGCCACAGCCACGCCCCCAGCAATCTCCTCCTCCGTTGCCTGTGTGCGCTGTTAACTCCGCCCACTTGTTGGTGGCCGCACTTGTAGTCCCGCCCCCGGGTTTGCTGCCCTCTGCTGGTTGGCCTGGGTGTGTTTCTCGCGGCCTGCTCGTTGCTAATATCTCATTGAATTCGCCTTCGTGTTCAGAAGATACCGGCTGGTGCTTTGTGCAGCCCTGGCGACTCCGACTTGGCAACGGCAGCGCTTGTCCGCATGGCGGCGGCGCTCGGTAAGTTGGAGAGGGGTATTCGAGGTTTCTGTGAGGGTGGAAGGCAGTGGCGGTATTCCGGGGTCTTTGTGTGATGAAGTGGCCCTTAGTACACTCTCATTTCATTCATCTTCTAGGAGCCCGTACTGTGTGTGTGTGTGTTGCTGTGTGTTCTGTCTGTTCTGTGGAGAGCAGTGTACACTGGGTGCCCGCACCCCTCTTGATGCCAACCGTGTCCCCTCCCCCCACACTGTGCTCCTATAGACACAACTGTATGTGGTGTCCTTCCTGGGGGCCCATCCCCCATTCTGGGGTCTTATCCATCTAGTTGCCCATCTGGGGTGATGCTGTTCCATGTGTACACACATTGCCCGCTTTTATAACTATGCTGCCTCCATTCCCTGACATTGTACCCTCTGAGCCCCCTCTGGCTGTGCCACTTCCTAATGTTTCTTCTGCATCCCTTGTACCCCCTTCATGTCACATCTCTCTGTGATCCTTCTACCCTGGATGGATAGCCCCATTCGATCACTGGCCATACATGGCTCCAATTTTGCCTAATTCCAGCTGCATCAACCGAAATGTGACCCTTGAGTGGCACTTTTGGCACCACGCTGCTCAACAAAGGTCAGCAGAAAAATGTAAATAACCTGCTGGAAAATTGTCAGCTGACCAGCGACTACGTCCTTTTAGATACAGTCAGTGCTCGGGTATATGACGGCCATGGGTGCTACAACTGTCTGAATACAATAGCCAGCAGGTTAGCACTGTTTAGCATGAATGGGGGAGTCTATTCATTTTCTCCGGCAGGCTGAGTGAGAGAGAATTTGGGTATGGCTGGCCTTAGGATCTGAATTCTGCTGTAGTAGAGGTAATAGGACTTGATGTTTCCATCAGCATAGTCTTCATATATGGATTGGTGTGGGAGTGTAGTAATGTCATCGGGGTGGGCACCCCACTTTGTTGATGAGCCCACTACGTCTCTAGAAGACTCATTGCTGACCGCTAGTATCTTAGGTACACCCCCATACCATTCCATGGTTACCGTGAAGGCTGTGGTATGTCAGCACTGCAGCAATGTCTTTCCATTATGATGGTGGTTGTCGTTGTTGGGGTATTCTGGAATGTGATGTTTGATGATGATTGGCTTTTTCCCTGTTAGGTAAAAAAGCACAAGTCCAACGATTTTAACCAATAGAAAACCTCCATGAACAGAACCTTATCCCCACAGTCACTGCAGTTCATTCATAGAAAGGCAAATATCCTTTCATACCACCGTTCAGTTTGCAAGTGGGGAATAATTCCTCCCGAATCCTCTAAGGCAGGCGTAGGCAAACTTCGGCCCCCCAGCTGTGGTGCAACTACAAGTCCCAGGAGGCATTGCAAGACTCTGACAGCCACAGGCATAACTCCCAGAGGCAGATACATGATGGGATTTGTAGTTTCGCTAAGGCTGGAGTCATGTCTGCGGCTGTGAGAATCTTGCAATGCCTCATGTGATTTGTAGTTCCCCCACAGCTGGAGGGCCGGAGTTTGGCTACCCCTGGTCTAGGTGATCAATAGGTATGTGTCACTGCGGCGGTTAAAGTGGTAGCAAACCGTTGTGTTCTGGGAGGGTTTTTGGCATAATGTGGAAGTGTGCACAACATACCTACACACTATGGCACTTACCTTACAGCGCTGTGGGATCTATCTTTAGTCTGCCGTTGGCACCACTTCGGGGTTCCGTGTGATTCTTCTTCAGCCATTGGGTGGCTACTGGTGATGTAACTTTTGCGTGTGCACACAGAACTTTCATCCTCCCAAGCACCCGGCCTATTCTTCTTAGCGATGTCATGAATGAGCCGGGTCTGCCCACTGCATGCGCTTTACAGTGTGCGCAAAAAATAAAACATTCAGAGGAAGAAATCATCTAGCAGAAAATATTTAGCGTGTCTCTTCTGCCCAAAATTCCTACCTCCCAGCAATTTCTTTTTTACTTTCACTTGAATTCAGCTTCGAGAAAGAGGTCAGTGTTACAGCGAAGGTCGGTAATGTGCAGGTTATTAAAAAGCTCTGTTTTCCCCAGTCATCTTCCAGGACAGCCATCGAGATATAGGCTCCGCCTGCCTGCAACAGGAAACACATCAACCACATTAAATAAATAGACTCCTCCTTCCATCCCAAGTCAGTTTTTTTGTGTTTCCGCCGGCTACACAGGGACATCGTAATGTTTGTTGTTTTTAGGGCTCATGTTTGTTTGCCTTAGGGCTGAGCCTACCCTGCTATGCGTTGGGACCTACTCCAGGATTACCTGCTGCAGCGCATGCAGGGCTTCCCTATCGGACCCCCATCCGATTCTTGGCCAAGGTTCCCTTCCATCACTCAGGGAAGGCAACCATCCTCCTGCACGTGAGTTGGCGCCAGATGGTGGCCCCCCCTGGTGTACAGCAGTGGCAAGCTGGGATGTGAGAATGCTGACCCAGGGTTGTGGACATTTGTCTGGCAACGACGGGGGCAGCATTGGAGAGGTACAGGGAGGCTGGAGGAGTCCAGGGGTCCCGGCTACCTTGGCAGTAGGGGGCTCTTACCTGATGGTATGAAGAGCAGGGTCAGTCTGCGGCAGTGTGGAGGTGTGGGGCCCGCGCGGCGGGCTGCGGCGTCTCTTCGCCCCTTGCTGGTGCTGTGGTGGGATCATAGGCTATGTCCTGGCTAGGAATCCGGCGGGTGACGTCACTGTAGGGCGCCGTCGTCGCCTGGGATACGCGCCGCGTGGTCAGAGCGATGACGCGCTTCCGGTGCGACACTTCCGGGTTTCAGAGGCTGCCTCGCGCTGGAGACGCATAAGAGAGGAGGCTCGGTTCCCACATGGTCACAGTAAACGCCGCTCGGCCACGACTACTTCAGCTGTACACCATCCATACCGACCTAGACCACATAAGGCCGGTGGGGACGTCAGGAGCGGGCCGATAGCGTGGTCGGCAGTGAGCTGCAAGATGCCCACAGATGCACACACATCTTTATCTAAGGCTTACACCAGCTCCGGTGCGTTCCAGCACAATTCGCGACTGGAGCACATCCCTGCTGGCTTCCTGCGTTCGGGGGCGTGGTGGTGCACTGAAGTCAATGGTACCGCGGCCACGCCCCCCACCAGCAGTGCGATCAACCACATCGGAACGCGTGGCAAAACAACGCCTGCATTCCAGTGCGATCTGAAAAAATAGTGTTGGCAGCCTTTTTTGAGATTGCACTGGACCGGAACGCAGACATTGTTTTGCCACTTGTTCCGGTGCGGGCGATTGCACTGAGGGGGCGTGGCTGTGGTGCATTTGACTTCAGTCCACACCACCCCCCCTCCTGCCCCTAAACGCAGGAAGCCCACTGGGATGCGCTCCAGTGCGTTCCAACAGTGAGTCGTGCTGGAACGCACTGGAGCTGGTGTGACAGGGCCCTTAATGCATGGCACTGTTTTTATGCTGCCCATTGACGTCTTGAATGTTGGCTGATTCCTGATCATTTGGCTTTGTGTGCTCCTGCCTGCACCTTCAATCTCAATTTTCACTTGCGTTTTTAGGCAGAGATCTGTCTGCAAAATCTGCTTTGTTTCTAGATGCTTAAAATTGTGTGCATTTACACGCATATGTGTGATGCATCTGTCCTTTGTCCTATTAGCATAGCCAATGAGATTTCTGCAAATGTGTCTTGTGTTTACATGCGTTTTGGTGCATTTAGAAGTTCAAATCAATCCCTGGATGCACCTGACTTCTACTTTTTTCTAAACACAGCTAAACTGATTGCAGGTAAAACCATCTAAATACAAGGGGAGCAATTTATCAAAACTGCAGCAGACAAAATCTGAAGCAGATTTGCACTGCAACCGATCAGCTGCTCTGTCTCATTTTCAAATCTTACCTGAGCAAACTGAAGAGCCATGCTGATAGGTTGCCATGGGTAACTGCTCCACATTCTGTCTGCTCCAGTTTTGATGAATTCCCCCCAAGGTGAATAGATCTATTGGAAATCATTAGCTGTGTATATACTGTATATGCCTTTAGAAAACCATTTTAATCACATCTAGTGTGAATGGAGCCCAAAGGTTAAGTTCTCATTCTCACCAAATGGGAAACGATAAACTTACACCCTACACCACCACCTCTTCCGGCCGGCCGCCCGCTGCAGATACCTGTGTGATGCCCTCAGCAGCCAGTGCACATGTCTGTACATCGTATACCGCATTTCACAGCCCACAATATGTAATGGGCACTGGTCACTAGGGGCCCATATTTACACAAGCCATAGAGCCTTTAAACCAGACCTCCAGACTTCTGACTTGTTTTGGGTCTTTACCTTTTTAATCACATGTGACCTCCTTTTAAGGGTCGGTTCACACCACAAAGAGTGCGCTCCAGAGCGTTCGGCCTCTGGAACGCAACATGGCCGGCTCCCTGCGTTCAGTGGCAGGAGGGGGCGTGGTGGGTTAGTCGGCTGTGGAAGGGGTAAGGGCCCATTCGCAACATTCCCTTTTAGGGCTTATGCATTTTCCATAGGTATGAATGGACACGCTTTTCATTTCTGCTACAACACACTCGCAGTGCAGTTTGCATTGCACATCAGCGCATCATTTCATGGAATATTAATGCATGTGCATTGAAAAGGAGAGCAGCGAATAGGCCCTAAGGCAGAGCTCATCATGGCAGGGAATCATTTTTGTTTTTCCAGCAGCATGCTCTTTTGTTATTATTTAGTGGAGTCGGAGTAGAATGTTTTTCAGAATTGTAATTTTTTTTGGCTTAGTTTAGTTTTCTGACCATGTTTCATGTTACAGACATATTTATGCATAAGGGGCATAGTTGTAAAGCAGTGAATGTGACATTCAACAAACATTCACTGCAGTTTTTTTACATTTTATTTTTATAGAGGTGTTGTATTGAGTATATTGTAGCGTGAGGGGTTAAGGGCACATTCATACCCGTTGTTGTGCATGATGCATGTCTTCCGTTTACGTGCACACGTGCAGCAATGTGTTTTACAATGAATCGCAG